CATTACTCTGAACAGGAGTGATCTTTACAAAACGCAACATGGGCAATTTCACCCACAGGCCCTGGTCCCAGAGAAAATTAAATCATATTCACACAAAAGCCCTGCATGGGTGCAGAGTGACCAGGATCAGAGAGACAGTACAGGGGATAAGGCATTTGCCTTGAATGTGGCCGAACCGAGCTGGATCCCTGGCACTGCATAGGATCCCCCAACCACTGCCAAGGGTCACTCCTGAGCACAGAGCCTCTAGTCCCCATGTGCTTCCAGACATGCCCCCCACCCCACCAACAACAACCCAAAGCTGGACACAACCAATGTCCTTCTTTGGTTAATTGGCTTGACTGTGACCTAAGTACACTATCAAGTACTATTCAACAATAATAAAAATAGAAAAAACAAATAAATGCAGCATCCAGAAGGACTAAGAAATTTGCTTTGCATGTGACCAACCTCAGTTCAATCCCTGGCACCATATATATTCCCCCAAGCATGATGAGAATTAACCGCTGAGCACAAAGTCAAAAGCACCTGAGCAACCACAGTTGGAAGCCTGCCTCATGAGCTGGGGGAGAAGGCAACTGGGATTGAGAAGGGATCACTAAGAATGATGGTTGGAGGGATCGCTTGGGATGGGAGGTGTGTGCTGAAAGTAGATAAAGGACCAAACGTGATGGCCTGTAAGTATCTGTATTGCAAACCATAATGCCCAAAAGTAGAGAGAGAGTAAGAGGGAAACTGTCTGCCATAGAGGCAGGGGAAAGGCTGAGAAGAGAAATGCAGGGAGGAGGGGGATACTGGGGACATTGGTGGTGAAAAATGTGCACTGGAGGAGGGATAGGTGTTCAATCATCGTATGACTGAAACTCATACAACTCATACAATGAAAGTTTTGTAACTATTTCTCATGGTGATTCAATAAAAATATGATACATTAAAAATATTTAAAAATAAATAATTTAAATTGCAATTGAAAGTATTAAATAATAAAAAAAGAAAGTATTAAATAATAAAATATATTATTAAAAATTAAAAAAATTTAAGGTACCTGAGCAAAAGAAATCATAAATCGTTTTTCTTCAGTGTTATCTGCTTGGGAAAACTATCTTTACTCTCTATAGCCCTCACCTATTTAGAGGTGGGGGGGGCCTTGGGGATTGTGGCCACACTTGGCAGTGTTCAGGGGCCCTTTCTGGCTTTGTGTTCAACAGTGACTCTTGGCAATGCTCGGGGAACCATATGCGGTGGCAGGGATTTGAATCTGGGTTGACTACATGCAAGGCAAATGTCTCTCTGGTCCTTCACTTATTTTCCTTGGTACACTTCCATGACCAAATATCACATGCTTATGTTTCTTTTCTGCCTTCCCAGGTCAAGTGTAAGTTTCCAATGGATGGAAACTGTTCTGTTTTGCCTCTTCCTGGTTCCTAGCCTATCACTGAGGTGCATATAATGTATTCCTGGAATAAGTAAATGGATGTGAAGTGAAACGCAGAATGAACAGGTCAAGAAATGAATGAGCACCCCTCCCAGGAGTCCACAGTGCCTTCAAATTTCCAAATGCCCTGAAACCCAAGTACAACAATTTGTTTGGCATTCGGCGCTTTTTCTAACTTCTGAGTCATGTTGGGGCATCCAGATTTCTTTTATCATGACTTTACTGGAACTTCTCTTTGCAAGTGCAAAATGCCTCTTCTGCTCTGAGTCTCCAGAGAATCTTCGCTCCCTCGCCAAGTTGAAAGCTTGGGCAGAATTAGATCATTGCAAACAAGAACGCATTTCAGTTTGGATTCCACTTGGCAACTATACCTACAGGATCAGCTTGGTGGATGCCTTGTGAACACAAGAGAAAAATAACAAAATAGAAGCCAAATGAAAATGCTATATTTTAATCACATATCAGATGTTGGAGTTAAATAATTATTGGTGTGGGGGGAGGCACCTGCCATCTACCCATAAAGCTGCGTTCATTCTAATGAGCCAATTACATGCTTGTCAAAGCAAAGTGGTGGCCAGGTACTTGAAGTAAAAGGGCAAAGTAAACAAAAGAACAAATTGCACTAATTACCTGGATCCAAAACCAAACCTGAATACATTCAGTGTATTGAAACATGAACTGGCTAAATTTTGCAGGTACTTTCCAGACACACCTGGTGACTCAGCCGAATCAAGTTACTGAACCATCAGAAATGTAAAACGTGGCTTTCAACTGGCCCCAAACCTCAAATAGCAAAACTTGAGTCAAGACCAAATGTGAACCAATCTCACTTTGTTGATAGTGAACTGATGAAGGAAGACTTGGGTTCCTGAATTGACTTTCCAAAGTCAACAGTACAATAGAGTGAGTCTGAAAACAACCCAGCCCACAATTTTTTTTTCATCCTGCCTGGAGAACATAAGACTTTTAGGGGCTAAAGAGAGAGGACGGGGTTAAGAAAACTACCTTGCACACGGCCAACTCCAATTCGTCATATAGATAGATATACCTGTTTCGTGGCTGTCAGCTCTAGGTTGTACTCAGCTTCTAGAAGCTACCCACATTCCTTAGCATATGTTCCTCCTCTACCTTTAAAGCCTGCAATAATACACTGAATCATATTCTATGCAAGTTTCAAGTCTCTCTTTCTTCCCACACCCAAGGAAAAGTTGTTCATTTATTTTTTTTCTTGGAGAGTGTCCCCACATAGCAGTTCTTAGTAAGCCAGTGGCCACGCTACTGGGTATAGCCCAAAAGTCCAAAAAACCTGGAAAATAAAAAAAAGACTTGATAGAGGTGTATTGGTTGATTAGAAGAAGGAAGAAGTTGGGGATCCAGAGCTCTATCAGAATGGGGGTGACATGAATTGGGGGTGGGCCAATGAAGAGAAGAAAAATTCACTGTCTTCCTACCCCTCAACTTAAGTATTTTTGGTTCGGTAATGTGGCAGCCAGGAAGATTGGGAACCCTGGTAATGTACATTGGGGAAAACTGTAAACCAGTCTGAAGGCATGGAAGCCTCTGACACAAAGGTGCATTTCAGGAGCCTGGAAAACCACAGGGATGCAGAGTCCCAGGCTCAAGGTCTGACGGATCCCAGAGAGGAGACGCTCCAGGAATGCACAGATCAAGGCTATGGCAGGAACGCAGGGATGGAAAGTCCCACACCTTCTCCCAGGAAAAGTACCACCAAATTCTACTTGAGAAAAGAACTGGGGGCAAAGGTGGTGTTGGAAAATATTCATACTTAGCCTTCCCTGAGGGCTGGAGCGATAGCACAGCGGTAGGGCGTTTGCCTTGCATGCAGCCAACATGGCCAACCCGAGTTCGATTCCTCCGCCCCTCTCGGAGAGCCCGGCAAGCTACCGAGAGTATCTGGCCCGCACGGCAGAGCCTGGCAAGCTCCCTGTGATGTATTTGATATGCCAAACACAGTAACAACAAAGTCTCCAATGGAGACGTTACTGGGCCCGCTCGAGCAAATCGATGATCAACGGGAGGGCCTTTACTTTACTTTTACTAGCCTTCCCTGAAATGTACACTGGGCTCTCTCTCCTCTCTCTCCACTCTCCTGAACATGGATGTAAGTCTACTTCTCTCCTTCCCTCCCAATCAACTTCACTAGTCATCTCTTCCTAAGAATTCTTTCCCGTCAGGGAAAGGTGACGAACTCAAGAAGTCTGGGTAAGGTTTACGACTGAGGGGCTGGGGCAATAGCACAGCAGGTAGGGCGTTTGCCTTGCACGACCCAGGTTCGATTCCCAGCATCCCATAGGGTCCCCCAGCACCACCAGGAGTAATTCCTGAGTGCAGAGCCAGGAGTAACCTTTGTGCATCACTGGGTGTGACACAAACAAACAAACAAACAAACAAACAAAAAGATTTAGAACTGGCTTCCCTCTCCTGCCAAGAGCAGCCAGCCTTGCCCATGGCTCCCCGAGGTATCAGGCAGCTGACATCACCTCCCATGCAAGTGAACAAGAGAGGGCTTCAGGTGCAGCCTCATGGCTGCCTTGTGGGGCTGCTGGGACATGAGTGTCTGTGCTGTCCAGGGGCTCAGCACAAACTCTCATTGGTCTGACATCTCCCAGGCACTTGCCTGGGTGACTGAGAAGCAGGTGGTAGGTTCTTTCTGGAGCCTCCTGCCTCTCTCCGCCCCACTTCACATCAGCCACCTGGGGCCCTGACACCTCCGCTGGTGAGAATCGAGTCCACCACCAGCAACAGTTTGGTTAAACGTTTGTGTTTTGTTTGTGCCACCCCCAACTATGCTCAGGGCTTACTCCAAGCTCTATTCAGGAACCACTCCTGGTGGGCTTGAGGACCATATGGGATCAAACGTGAGTGAGCCATTAGCAATGCAAGCACCCTACCCACTGTACTAACTCACCAGCCCTGATTTAACACTGGTAAGAACATCGTAGAATTTCCAGGTGGAATTCACCATCTATATTTCCTACATCACAATCACCACAAGATTAGTTTCTATTTACCACCAAAAACTGACCACTTTCCCCCAATTCACCCAACCTTTGCTTCCTTTCCACTGTGGGAAACACCAGTCTATTCCTCAAATCTAGTCTCTTTATCTTCCACAAGTAAATGAACTCCACACCAGCATCACCCAGTAGACTACCCTCCTCAAGGTGTGATTTCATTTGCTTGTGGAAGATAAACAGTCAAGGTACAACAAAGCAAAATAGAAACGAACTGGGTTTGAGGAGTACACTGAGTAGAGCCGGGTATGGCCCCAAAGCCAAAAAAAATAAATAAATAAACTCTAACTTAAGCATGTGGAGTTTTATATGCAAATCTTTCATACAATACCCAAGAACCCAAGAGCTCATGGGTGACGTGTATGTGATACACCCTCTTCATTTTAACTATGGAAAGAACCCTACTGTATACGGCAGGGGCAGGGTTAAGGGGGTGGGAGGAAGAGTGGGGAGCAGGGGAGAAGGGTCCTAAGATGCAGCTGTAGAACAAATGATGTCTTGTGGGGTAGCAGGGAACCCTAAAACATTACCTGTGGAGAGCTGGGTGGGGAGGGGGTTCATTTCCTTGTCCACCATCTTCTGATACAAAGCCCTCAGGCTGAAAGGCTCCACGGTGAAAGGCAGGGTCCCCGTCAGCATGGCATACATGTTCACGCCTCTGCAAAGACCAAGAGCAGTGCATGAGACCACAGGAAGGACCCTCACCAGCCTGCTGCTGGCCCCATGGAAACAACTGGGCCCCCAGGGAGAGGACAACACAGAAGAAATGAACTTGGTGGAGCTCAGTCCTGCTCCTTTCGTGCCAACCTCTGACCTCTTTCTAGAACCTCCCATGTGACATTATGGGAGGGCAAACCTTTATGTGAAGACTTAAACAATGGATAGGGGTGAGAGTTCCCAGAGTTTCAAGATCTGCCATGACCACCTCGACACCCGCCCCCCCCCACCACAGACACACAGACATAGACACAGACACAGACACAGACAGACAGACAGACAGACAGACAGACACACACACACACACACACCCCTCCATATGGAAGGGAAACCAGACCCCTTCCTCCTGGAAGGAAATCCAGACCAACTTATGTGAAAACACCTGGCGGATGTTGGGAACCTCCCCTCAAAGCCATCTTGCCATTATGTGGTTTTCCAAGGATCGTTTCCAAGGGGGAAAAACGGAGGAGGCCAGACTGAAAAATTCAGGACTAGAGACTGCCCGGGTGGGCATGTCACAGCCTGGTCCTGCCCAGCTCTTTGAAATGAAAGTTTCATTCCCCAACTGGTGTTTTGCTTTCCCTTGAGTTGTTCTGGCCTGTAACTAGAGAAATTCCTGGGGGCGGGTGGGGAGAGGGAGTTCTCCTTCCCGCCCTTATTTTTTTGACCGACCATCGTTTGTTTTTGTGGACTGTGAAAATTCTGCCACTCCAGCCTGACCTCCCAGCTCCGCTGATGTGGTCGCAATGCCTTCTGCCTGGCCTGGGAAATGTTTATATCCAAGGCCAATCTGGAGAACACTGAGGTCTTCTTGGTGGATTGTTTTTTTTTTTAATTTTCCTGATGTGCAAACCTAATATCCTTTTGATGAGATTTCCTGATGGGGATGAAATGCCTGCCTGCCAAGAGGTCTCTCACGTTCAAGAGTGCCCAAGGGAATGTTCTAGAAACAGGCAATAGGATTTCCAGTCAAAACAAATCCAATGAGACTGATTGAAATGAAGACCCTTGGGGCCGATGTCTACTGAGGCGCCACTGAATTACAGTGTTCCCTGATCACCACAGGTACAGAGCCCACAGGCTCCAGCTAGAAATCATTCTCAAATAGCAGATATTTGCTAAGAGCTCGTTCCCACGCCATAACTCACCATCAAGTTAAGAAAACGGATATACAAACATTCATTCCCCCCATTCTTGCTAGCTGGCTCTGTGCCCCAGGCAAGGGGCACCATTTCTGAGACGTGAACCAGACAACCTCCATCTTGAACCAGGAACAAGGAAAGAAGTGAATGAAAACAATGTCCTTTTAAAGATCAGTGAGTACAGAGGGGATGAGAAAATGCTGAACTGTGCCATTTCTGCCCAGAAAAGTTTCACTGAGGGAGAAAGAGGGAATTATGAGAAATACTTCAAGGTGGGTGACCCCCTGAGCTAGATCTTTGGTGGCTGGTGGATGTGAGGATAAGGAAGAGAAAAAAGCATCAATCCAGAAAAGATAAGAATAAACAAGACACAAGCAGAACCATTCAAAGCAGCCCCTTCCTGGGGGTATTCAGAGGAACACATTTCCCAGGATAGGAAGAGACATTGGTGTGTGACTTAATAAATTAGGGGTGCAGTCCTGTGGCACTCAGAGGATTAGAATGAGGAATAACAGGTGGCCCTATGACTGTGAATTAGCACATGACTCCTGACCTCTGAATGGCAGTGATGAGAGCAACAGAAGAGGAATAAAGCAACAGAGACATTTTGAAGGTTGAGCAAGCATCCAACATGGAGAGTTAGACCAGCGGTGGCAGTAAAATTACCAACCACTAAGAATTCCAGGAGGAAAGTCAGTTTGGAGGTAAAGGAGTCTACCCCCCGAGGGGGTGGCTACAGAATCTATAATTTATTTATTTCTTATCTCCTGCCCCTGCGCCTGGCTGTTCCTCGCCGGGGTCCCTTGGAGGGGAGCGGGTTGAGCTTTCCTCCCCACCCCGACCAGGGCTCCGGCAGCTGAAGACCTCCAGGACCAGTCACCACCATGCTGAGACCACTCTCCGCACACATGAAGGTACTGGCAGAGGGACAAAGCCACGCGGGTTCCGGGGCCGAGATCTCCCAGCCTACTCGGATTGGAGTCGAGCATCCTCCACCCAGATCCTCCAAATTCCAGTAGGCGGGGGTCACACCCACCACCTGGCCCCCTTGCGCCGTGTAATTCCATCAGCGGCCAAGACTCAGAGACTATAAAATCCAGCTCCCAGAACCGCGCGGCCGCAAATGCCGCAAATGTCTTATCAGGACATCTTTTTATGACATCTTATTATCTCATTCCTACTTTGGACAAACTTGCAGGCTATCGAATGTAGCCTGTCCACAGGGCAGAGTCTGGCAAACTCCCCGTGGTGTACCAAACATGCCAAATACCAGTAACAATGATGGGTCTCATTCTCCTAAAGAGCCTTGAATATAATCTCAGGGCTAGGATGAAAGAGACGTTACTGGGGCCTGCTCGAGGCAATCGACGAATAACAGGATGATGAATGAATGAATGACTGAATTTATTTATTTATTTATTTTTGGCTTTTTTGGGTCATACCCTGTGATGCCCAGGGGTCACAGTTACTCCTGGCTCTGCACTCAGGAATTACTCCTGTGGTGCTCGAGGGACCATATGAGATGCCGTGAATTGAACAATGAAACAACGGACTTGGTTCTATTGATCTTATAGATAATCTCATGCAGAGAGAAATCAAGTGTCTCGTGTTTGAGTGTTTGGATTTGCATGGGCTCATCAATAAAAGAAGTCTTAATTTTTCATTCAATGAATATGAAGTAAAATTGAAATGAGAATAACATAAGTGTGACCAGAGAGAGAGTGCCAAGGGTTCGGGTACTTGCCGACCCTGCTTCCATCCCTGGCACCACATTCAGTCCCCCAAACACCGTCAGGAGTAAACTCTGAGAGCACCATTGGTGGGTTGTCCCTTCAAAAAGCAATAAAAAACAATTAAACCAAAGAAGAACAAGTCGCCATGTGGTATTATGGAGTTTCCTTAGAAGAAGAGGGTCCAACAGGCTGGTTTGAAGATCTCGGACTTTTCCTAGCTTCTTCTTCATTGGGGACACAGAGCTACTATCCCTTCCAGGGTGAGTAAGAATGCAGAATGCCCCAGGAGCCTAGGTGCAGGGTAAAGAACAGAGGCCTCCCTAAAGGTGTTGGGTGTGTGGGATATGGGGCCAGAAGGTCACTTGGAAAATCTTGGCCAAAGTGTCTACCTTCCAAGTATCTACCTTGAGCTGCCAAATTCTGTGTCTCCTCGTCATTGGCAGAATCACAGAAACATTCCTTGCTGCCTCTCTCCACTTCACTCCCTGTCTCCATGGCTGTCTGAAGAGCTGTGAACTGCATGCTCAGCCCTGGGTGCTTCCGCAGTCTAATCTCACTGAGTCTTTTACCAAATATCCAATTCCATTTCTCTCGGCAAAATTTCCCATTAACTGAAACAGCTTCTCAGGAGGCTGGAATGCTGATAAATTCAGAACCTAAGAAATCGTGTCCACTTCACACTTTTCAAACCAATGGGTAAAATAAATTACCACTTTTTTAAAATAATTATTATTTCCTAATGCCAAACAAGAAGAAAAACCTGTGGGCCAGAGAGATATAGAACAGGAGTTACAGGCACACACCTTGCCCATGGTCCACCCCCACTTCAATCCCTGGCACCATGTATAGTCCCCTGAGCAGTGCCAGGAGTGATTCCCATGCATCGAGCTGGGAGTAAGCCCTGAGCAACTCTGGGTATGACCCCAATCAATCACCCACCCCCAAATAAAAACAAAAATAAAGAGATTTGGGGGCTGGAGTGATAGCACAGCAGGTAGGGCATTTGCCTTGCACACGGCCGACTCTGGTTCGATTCCCAGTATCCCATATGGTCCCCAAAGCACTGCCAGGAGTAATTCCTGAGTGCAGAGACAGGAGTAACCTCTGTGCATCACTGGATGTAACCCAAAAAATAAAATAAGAGTTCTGTTTCTGTCCCACCCTTTTCAAACCAAAAGAAAAAAAAACCACTACAACTGGTTTTGTTATGTAATGCCAAGTAGAAATAAAAACCAGGGGCTGGAGAGTAGCACAGGGTGTAAACTATAGGCCTTGTATGCAGCAGACCCAGGTTTGGTCCCCAGTGCCACACGGTCCCCGAATATCACTGGATACAGCCTCTAAGCACAGCGCTAGTATAGCATTTCTGGGTGACCCAGCTCATTCCCAGCACTGCAAGGTCCAAGCACCACATTCTCAGTTCCCTCACATTGAACCACCAGCCCAGCTGGCCAGAACTGGTAGGAGGAATCTCCAAGCCTTCTAAGCTGAACTTGGGGGTCCCCCAACCCCCTAGCCTCCCAAAACAGAAAGGAAACTTTCATTCATGACCACAGTCCTAAGAACTGTCTGCAGGCAACCACAATGAGTGTCTTCCTGTGTCTGCCCGGGAGTCGTCACACATGGTTGCTACCGAATAAAGAGAAATCTCATCCCTTTGACACTTCAGATGTATGTGAGGCAAGCAGGACATGTGGAATGCGCTTCATAAACCTCTGTAATCCCATAGAATTAGTAGGCATTTCGAAACACGTTCAGAATTTCCTGATGTAACTTGGGAAATAGAGCCTTGGGGCTTCCTGGCTTCTCCAAGGCTCTCTTGCACCCACCCCCTCCCCCAAGAACCAGATATAGTTTCCCAGAAAGTGAGGAGACACTGGGATGAAGAAAGCTAACACACACAAAAAAGCCTGCCTCAAGTGGGCATCATCTCAGAGTCCCATAGGGGCAGGGGAAGGATGAGACGAACTGGTTCCTCCCCTATCTGTGTTGAAATAGTGAATGTAATCAAAGTAGAGAGAGAATATTGTGGAAATTGTCTGATACACAGGCAGGGGAAGAGTTGA